CGGTATGGGACATATCATTTGAGCTACCCGTTCAACTCTAAGGGTATCTGGGTCATTGTTCGACACCGCAGCGACTGGGCTCGCTTATGAGGCCCGCAATGCCGCTCTCTCTTGATCCAGGACGAAGAAGCACCTTCCAGGGATTTAGGACAGGGCTGCTGCCAAACCCATCCCCATACCGCCATCTCCCCCCTCGACAGCTCAGCCTTTTAGTCGCAGTGCAGTCCCAATTCCCAAGAGGCCATGTATCCCACCAGCCCACGCCAACAACCGGGCTTACAGGCACGACAGACGTTGGAGCATTGATACCCTAGACTATTTTCTGGTTCCCTTCTGCCTTTTCTTGTCTGGCCCTTTCTTTGGTACCCAGGCCGCTGCATGGCCTGACCTGCCTTACAATTTTCTTACTATGGTGTGTGAACGCTGGCTTTGATGACTGCGACGATGGGGAGGTTTGAGAACCGCAACGACTGGACGGGGTGATGACTCGGGCATTTATGCATTTGGGAGAGGGCAAAACGCGCCGACAACGGGGCACGGAACGGACTCGAGCGCTGGGTTGTTTTGTCCCCTTGGGTCTTTTGACGCAGGCGACGCTATTTCGTAATGGGCCGATGATGGGGCTGGGGGGTTACTACTACTATAGTATTGACACTGACGATGGATTAGGGGGGCATGGGGGGTCTCGCCGAGTGAGATCGGCCAGGTTTTTTGTTGAGTTTTGGCTTGAGGGATAGTAGTCTGTGACGCTCCGAGGAGCAATGAGAACTAGACATAAATGGGACAAACCTAATTATTTGCAATTGCCGTCGCGGATCTGGTGTCGACGTTTTGACTTGTCCATATCAGGCCCGTCCGGGGGTGCCCGGTGGTAGTGGTGGAGATGAAAACCCCTGAGCACGGGCCCGCCCCAAGTAAACAAACCTGGCCACTGCCCCTGAGCGACGGGGTGGTGGCGTCTTGTCTCTCCTCCGCGCTTGGAGAGGGCATGTGACGGGAGTTAAGGAGTGGCTGGTTTAAATATTCCCTCTATCATGAAGGGGGGTCAAAATGCCAATCTGGATGTTCTACGACATACGGAGGCTCAAGCTCTTGAACTGGTCACATAAGACCGCAAATGAACCCAGTTTTGGCACATTATATGCGATCTGGTCTGCCTGCAATTCCTCTGCCAGCAGGCGCCCTCGATGGCGTTGAGAGGAGGGGGGCAGTCAAAGGTTTCTGTCTACTGCTGGCCGGATGCCTTGTCGGGGGGGGGTGGGGGTAGTTTAGCATTGGTCGTACCGGGCCGGGAGGGGGACATCGTCGGGGGAGAAATTGAGGTACACAGGTACCACACCGGCTTTGTGATATTGCGGGAAAATTGAAGGAATTCTCAGTGATATTGCTGGCTATCTCCTCACCTACCCTTGAGCCCTGGCATGTTTATCCGTGGCACTGTGGGTGCGAGACATCGGAGACACCAGCCCGCCTACACACATCTTGGTGGAGGCCAGCGCAGAGGCTGGATCCTTGAGGTCAGATCCGGGTACCTGTATATTTGCCGCCGTATGTAGCCCTGAAGACGGAAGCGGAGGTGCCCGTATCGTCGTGCCAACCCTGTCTTGCCAGTGCAATCTTCACGTCGGAGAACCGACAATGCCCGGCCCAGCACGCACCTGTTGACGGAGGCCCTGAAGTTGGGAACGGGGGACTACACTTGTCCAGCAAGGCACGTAAGTCTAGAGCCGGCCAGTCATACCTTTGCGGAGCGGGCCGTCAACTCAGGACCGGGGGATTCTCGTCGTGCCAGTGGCAGTAAGGTCTTGTCAGTGGAGAGTGGGCGTCACTCACTTGGCGAGAGGTCTCGTGCTAGCATGCATGCAAACCAGTGTTGGGATTATATTCTGCTGCTGTCTGAAGTTTGCCATAAAAGTACTACCACACAACCGCTGATGTTGAACCTAATCCGAAGAGAAACGCTATGCCACCACCACACCCCCTCCAGGCCAGATCATTTCCCCCGTGATTTGTCCTCTTTTAGGACGGTCTCCATCCAAGACTTCGACGGCGTGTCCCGTTCTAGGGCGGTGTCCGTGTGGGAAGTCTGGGGCGTTGGCGTTGGCGTCGGCTGCGACGGCGTTCCGAAGTCTACCGTAGTGGATTTTTTCCAAGCCTGGATAATGTCGTCGCACTCTTTTCTCGCGGCATCGTCGATGAAACAGGCGGGATTCGAGGTCAAGAGCCCCTGGAGGGTTTGGATGTCTGCAAAGATCATGCTGTAGAGGTGGGGTCCACCATCCATTGACACCACTTTCAAGTTGTTAAGCTCGTTTCGCAATGGCGTGATGATGCGCTTCACCAACCCATCCAGTATCGATTTGGGTTGGTCGAGTTCCAAGACAGTGCCCAGTGGCCCCGCTCTTCGAGCCCGTATGGCTCGAAGAAGCCTGTACACGGGTCGGACCGTCACGGTGTTGTCGGCTCGGCTCCTGTTGTCATGCATGACGCCATTTAAGACCTCGGAGAAGTTTGTTTTTTTGGCGACTGTGATGGTCTTCTTTAAGTGCGTTTGCACTAAGATGAGTTTTGCGATCTTGGATTCGAGCTGACGACTTGAGAACTTCGCGATATCGAGAAAGATGGATTGCAGGCCTGAGTTCCCTCCCGCCAAGGGTGGGATCGAAGTCTCGGCGATGTCCATGTGTGCTGCAAGCGTAGCAGCATCTCGAGCGAGGTCTTCATTGCCGGCCTCAAGTAGGTTTTCTTTTTTGAGATGTTTCAAGAGGGCGTTGAGCATCTTGGTAGTCGACTCGATCTTGGGATATGCATCGAGACACAAAAGATAATGGGAACAGAAAGTCCTCCTGTCACTACTTTTGTGGGTTGTGCTGCGGGCATGGAATCTTCCCATCTCCTCCGGGTCGCAAATGAGGTCCATGAGCTCTTCGACTTGTTGGGTCGCTAGATACCTGGGGTAGGTAGGCGCTTGGCTGGATGACGGCGACGGGTTCGCGTTGGAGGCCATGGCTTGAAGTCGGCGGGGGTTGGTGATGAGAGAGTGCAAACTTCGAGGTGGAGGAGCGGGATAAATACCACCATAGGCCTCCCCCTGCTCCTGCTACGGCCCTCGTCCCAGGTCCGTCAGATCGGTCCACGGAGCAACCGCAGCCAGCTAGTTTGTTTGTCACCGCAAGACGTTTTGCCAAGTGCGCAAGTGCTACCTCTGTTTCAATCCAAGCTTGTGAGGTCGGAACAGGAGGGTTCCATGTGTGCCTGCCAAATAGGTGCTGATCATCCGGGACAGCTGGTCGTTTCGCTTGCTCAGGAAAGGAGTAGATAAAGGTGGTAGGTGAAGGTTGGATTTGATATTCTATGGAGTGGAAAGAGTCGTGGCTACCACCGACAGAAAAGCGCACCTACTACCTATCCAGAGTAGTCGCCCTCCTCGAGAGGAGTGACAGCACGTCTGAGATCGCCCGACCCAGTCCCCCCTGCTGGCTGGGGCTGGTTGATTTCGAAAGAAGGAGGCTCACAGCCGCCTTGTTGGTTGCAGACCAGCACTTCACCGGTGACGCCGTCGACAAAGATGCGAGAGCTCGGGTCTGGGGGCGAAGAGGCCAGCTTCTCAAGCATTTGTAGGGTGTTCTTGCCTCGGCGGGAGGAACTGCGTCTTGCGAGGGGCAAGCGCCTTGCAATGCGCTTGTCGGAGAGGATGGGGTCGCTGTCGCAGTGGGTGCCATCCTGAGGGGGAGTGTTGCGGAAGGAAAAGAACGTGGCAAAGACGTGGGCGTGCTGGTGCTTCGTCCATGGTGCTTTGACGTTGTCGAGGTCAAGCCAGTCGGCGAGTTTTTGAATTATAGCCTCGGCGGAGGCGTCCGAGAGGGTGTCGAAGAGGATGGAAGCCTCGCCGTCCCGTTTCTTTTCTCTGTCGGTGTGTCGATTGACGGAAGCGAGGGAAAAGGAGACGGCCAGGGGCGCAAAAGCAGCGTTGGCAATGCCGACCTGGTTCCTCAAATGGCCTCGGTCGGAAAGAGAGAGCACCGAAGAGAAGCTGAAATGAAGGGGGATTTCAATGGAGGTCGGGAGACAGCTGGGGTGCGAAGTCAAGATTGGCGTCTGGAGTGAGGGTGTCTTTTGGGAAAACTCGACCAGGTATTCGAGGTAGAGGGCGTGGTACAGAGCAACCCGTTTGGCATGATTGATTTTGGCTCCTGCTTGGGCTTCCAACTGGGCATGACACCCGAGAGCCAGGGCCGAGAGGATTGTGCAAGTCAAGATGTTCATGATGGCGGGCGATGATTTCTCCAGGAGGAAAGGAGAGGTCAAGTTCGTGCACAAGTTGGGGGCCGCAGGAGGAGGATCTATTTCTTACTTTTGTGTATGGACTTTTGCAAATGGACGGTTTTGCTTCCGGGACTCGATCGGGGTCCATGTTGAGGTCGAGGACAAAGACGCGTCCGCCCGCAATCGACCACGGAAGCTACGAAAACAGACGCCCGCCGCCCGCCGTTGAGCTTTGCTGGAGGAATGTACAAGGTCCACAAATTTATCTTTTCGTTTGCATGCCCGCCTCGATTGCACCAAGGCATCCCAATTCAACGCCAACCAAAATTCTCAATTGGAATTTCTCCCTCTGGCGCGCGACCTGTCACTCGATCCAGACTCGGGCTGCCGTGCCATCCCCCAGCGACGACATGACGACTGTAATGGACCCCGATATGCACACAAATTCGTATATTTTGTCATTTCCACTCGATGGTTTGGCCCAAACCCAAATTCTTTCAGGGGTGGCTGCTGACGCTATTCCAGAGATGGCAGGATGTTTACCCGTCCCCTTTTCCCTCGTCGCACTGACACTCAGACACCCACTGACCCTCCATGCATCCACTTCGGCCCTGCACGCCTGGAAGAAAGTGGATGCAACGACTCATCAACGCCGCCTCATGGCAGCTCGAGTCATTCCGACGTTCTTGAGTCATTAGCAACATTTCCGAAGCCAATCAACATGAACCATCCAATCCGGTATAGTGTAACGGTCAACATATCGCGCTTTCATGAGCTGTCCTACATCCGCGAAGCTCCGGGTTCGATTCCCGGTATCGGAACATCCAACACCTATATTTTTGGATCCTGACCCGTCTGGCTATGTTTTCCCATTCAGATGCTGGCGCGAAATGGCACCAAAGCTGGAAGCATCTTCTTTTTGGAAGGCAAGAAGTTGACAAAACGGGGGAAATATGCGTTGGTCGATCAGATGCAGATGCAGTCACGAGCATCCTGTGTCGCGTCATCGGGCGGTGTTGGGAATTTGTCATCTCAAGAAGGTGCACTTTCTCACTTACACACCAAGTCCAGCCAGAAAAGGAAATATATCACCGTCGACCCTAACCCTGGATGTTACACAACACCACCCGAGGCAGTCAAACTCCGACAAGACATCCAGTATCACTCCCCATTGTGGAAAACAAGTTGCGATGGGAACCAAGGGCAGCATGTAAGCCTTGCTTGGAAGTTGAAAGGAAAGGGTAGAAGGCGGATTCACGTCAAAACAATTTCCCCAATTGACCAGCACATCCGGCCTTCCCAGTTCGGGCACTACGAGCCTTCCTTCCCTCTGTTCCCCGGGGAAATTGTTGCTCCTGTCCAAGTACATCTCTTCATCTCTTTCCCCTCCCCTGAAGAACTTGGACTCTCTCCAACCTTTACATCTCTAAATACAATTCTCCTATACATCCGCCCCGTCCCTGCTTTGCACCTCGGATACGAGGCTCAGGACAACACCCAAGCCCTCTTCCTGACCACTCGCTCAGCGCCACCGGACTATGGCAGACCATCACAGCCCTCCCGCGCCCGTGCTCTTCAAACCAGCCAATGACTACTCCGACATGGACGCCGAAGCCCCTCTCGAGAAGCCCAAGCCTGAACAGCCAGCGCCCACTCCACCGCCCAATGGTGGTCTGGTCGCATGGCTCCAGGTCCTCGGCGCCTTCTTTCTCATGTTCAACACCTGGGGCCTCTCCAACACCTTTGGCATATTCCAGTCCGAGTACTCCACCTCCTTCCTCAGTGACTCCTCCGAGTCTGCCATCTCATGGATCGGCTCCCTTCAAGCCTTCCTGATGCTCGTCGTCTGCGTTGTCTGCGGCAGCCTCCTCGACCGGGGACACTTCTACCCTACCCTGACCCTTGGTATCTTTCTCGAAGTATTTGGCATGATGAGTACGTACCTTTTGCACAATGCTGAAGAGCCCACACTAACCCCCCCAAGTGACCTCTCTCGCCACAAAATACTACCAAGTCCTCCTCGCCCAGGGCGTCACAGTAGGCCTCGGCGCCGGCATGGTCTTCATCCCCGCCATCCAGATTGTCGGCACCTATTTCTCCACGCGCCGCTCCACCGCCATGGGCCTGGCCGCCACCGGCTCCGGCGTAGGCGGCATCGTCTACCCGCTCATCCTCCGCTCCCTCATAACCTCCCTCGGCCTTCGCTGGGCTGTGCGCGTCATGGCCTTCGTCATGCTCGGCACCCTTCTCATCCCCCTCGCCGTGATGCGCCCCCGCCCCAGCCCCCGACGCAAACCCCCACCCGCAACACCCGCCCCATCCATCCAAACAGCAATCAAGGAAACCCTCCCCCTCCCCTTCGCCCTGTTCCTCCTCGCCATCTTCCTCCTCTACATCGGCCTCTACATCCCCTTCTTCTACATCGACGCCTTCGCCCTCACCATCCCCGACCTACCCGCCTCCCTCTCCTCCAACCTCCTCCTCATCATGAACGCCGCCTCCCTCCCCGGCCGCGTCCTCCCCGCCATGCTGGCCGACCGCATCGGCAACCTCTCCATCATCATCCCCGCCACGCTGCTCGGCGGCGTCGCCGCGCTGGCCTGGTCGCGCGTGCACGACGCCGGCGGGCTGGTGGCCGTGGCGGTGCTGCTTGGGTTTGCCAGCGGCTCGATCCAGGCCGTGGTTCCCGGTGTGGTGGTTCTGCTGTGTCCGGATCTGGGGCGGCTGGGGCGGAATATCGGGTTGATGCTGGCGGTGTCGGGGGTGGGGTTGTTGGTGGGGAGTCCAGTGGCGGGTGTGATATTGGAGCATGGGGGTGAGGAGGGTTTCTGGGGGCTGTTTGTGTTTGCGGGGGTTATGGTTGTGGCCGCGGGCGTGCTGATGGCGGTGGTGAGGGTGGTTAAGGTTGGGTTTGCGATTGTCAAGGCCTGAGAGGAGAGGGTGGGTGAAGGGGGGCGGGTTATGAGTATCGTAGTGGGAGTTGGGCGCGTGGGTTTTCGTTGTTGGGTACATTGATGACTGGGATGCAATACCTGAATAGACTAATGATTGGGTTATGATGAATCGGAGTTACAGCAATGAAGAGTCTATTAAATTTCGCTGGACATTTTACTGCCAAGTTACTGCTGCCATCAGTTACACCAAAGTCAACGTACGTCGCGTCTAAACCTCAAGACCCTCATCCATCAGGAAAAGATCTACGTAAAAAGCCATACATCACGATACATCACGACAACATCATCATCAACATCATCACATCACGCCGTCTACTCCCAAAGCGACTCAAACCCAACCGACACATCCCCAAACTGCCCCGGACAAAACCCAGGCATGCCCATGACCTCCCCGTCCCCCCCAAAGCAGAAATCCGGCACCATCGACGACCCAAACCCGCCGTCGTGCGACATGAAATCCTGCCCCCCGAAAAAACCCGACGGGCCCATGCCACACCCCCCGGCACCGGGCGTGGACCCCGTCGCTCCCCACCCCGACCCCGGAAGCATCGCAGGCGTCGTCACCCGCCCCCGCCGCGCCACCAGCGCAGCCTTCATCTCCCCGACCTCCCTCCCCGCCGTCCTGACGCCCTCGGCGAGCAACCGCTGGCCGGCATCCCCCACGTCATCGGCAAAGAGCTGTTCCGTGACCCCCGCCGCGACGGCAACAATGAGACTGACCCGTGCCGCCACGGGGCCGAGGTGGGCGCGGGCGCGTAGACGCACCGACAGGGCGGCGAGGGCGTCGTGCAGGAGGGTGTGGAAGACGCGGGTGGACTGGTTGGTGTTGGTGAGGAGGGACGAGGGGCGGGCGTCGAGGGCGCGGAGGCGGCCGACGACGAAGCACGCTGTGAGGGCGGCGCGGGCGAGGTGCGACCAGAGGAGGTGGTGGGCTGCGGGGGCGGCGGAGGGGTGCGGGGGGAAGTGGTGGAGGGTGGAGGTGGCGAGGTCGAAGGTCTCGAGGAGGGCGGCGCGGTGGGAGGGGGAGGAGGGCAGGGTTTGGTTGAGGGTGAGGATGGTGAGGGTGGTTTGCATGGGAATGGAGAGGAGGGATTGTTGGAGGTGGAGGATGGGGTCGGAGGTCGATGATGGGCGGAGAGGGGGGGGGAGGGAGGTCATGAAGGATTCGAGGGATGGGCGGAGGGAGAGGTGGAGGTGGGCGAGGGAGGGGGGGTTGGGGAGGTGTAGTTGGCGGTAGACGGGGGCGATGATGGAGGTTAGTTTGGCGGCGACGACGGCGAAGGATGCATCCATCAGTTCCTGGTCGTGAGATGTGGCGTCGTCGTAGTGCCCGCTGAAAGATCGCAATGATCCCAGGTTGGTGGCTGTGGGGAGTGGGCAGTCCGTCTCGTCGAGGGAAATACTGAGGAGTGTTCCACTGCGCATGCAAAAGTCGAGACTCAAGCGGAGGTAGCATGCCCACAGCCGTTTCCGAAGCTCAGCATAGTACGGGGTCATGCCGGGGAACGGGGCTGGATCCCGGTGCAGGCCCATGTTGAACATGATCTGGCCAGTCAAGCCTTGGAGAGAGAGCATGTCGTGCATCTTGTCCGTGTCGGAAGCTGATATGGTCTTGAGGAGGAGCAACAGCAACAGGTTCTGCACGGCGCCGATGCAGGGTTTCTGGAAACGCAACGACGAGTTGATGCAGTCCTCGACCTCCCGAGCAAGCATCCTTCCGTGCATTCTGTCGGCCTCGCTGTCCTGCATGGCGATGGCGACGGCCATGATGACCCTCGCGACATGGACGGGGTTGGTCAGAGTGCCCGCGTAGACCTGCCGCACATCGTCTCTCAGGGCTGCTGGATGGATGATGCCGTATATGCGGTTGTACGACTGGCAGAACTTGGTTACCCACCCGTCACATTGTGCACGGTCTGGGAGCAATGTGCGAAGGCCGGTGCCATCGGAATCCGTCCGGGAGAGGGAGGGTGATGCCGGGACAGGGTTGCAGGCTTGGAGCAGCACCTTGAGCTCGCCAAAGGCACTCCAAGTGGACTGAAACTCGGTCGAGTGGTCGAGGAAAGCCTTGAGCACCGTCATTTCTCGACACGGGGCCAACCAGTGGCTGAGACTGAACATGCGCGTCTTGAGCCCAGAGGTCTGGAAGATGTTGGTCGTCCCAGCCGGCTTGGACATGGTCATCGCCGCCGGTGACTCGGGCAGCGTTGGAGAGCAGGCGGCCACATGGTATCCTTGCGCGGTGTTTGGGTCCGAGTCCGTCTCGGCCCCGTGCCCTGTTGACTGCGGAGATGCCGATGCCCTCTCGGCGGGCGAGTTGACTTCGGAGAGGTCAGGCGGTGACGGAAGAGGGTCGGCGTGGGGGCGCGTGTATCGAGGCGTCGAGGTGTAGACGCATTCTAAAGGGGCGCCGCGGTGATGACATTCCGTGCAGGGCAGCTCGCGGCTGCATCGTTTCCTTCGGGTTCGGCACTCGAGACAGGATTTGGACTGGCGAACCCGGGGGCCTTTGCGACCGGACTTGTTCTTGAGCTCTGACTCGAAGCTGTCGAGGTCGAGGTTGCGAAAGCGGAGGGCCATGATTACCTAGGTACCGTGGGTGGGATGGGTGACGTGGACAGAGGAGTGGGGGGAGCCTGGAGCTCGGGGGAGGGTGCTCTGTAGTTATCGCCGTCAGTTATGGCGGGGGTCAGTCACCCCGGGCCATCAATCGGACGCCATCGCCGACGTCAATCGGGTATAGCCCAGAATCGAGGCCTTGGGCCGAGCACTGAGAGAAAGCGGGCTGTGCATTGGATCCGACCAGGCTCGGGGTTCACGACCTATGTCTTTGCATGTCAGCATCAGCAGCATCTGGAGTGGAAGAT